TTGTTTATAATAGAATGTTTGACTATAGTTACAATTACTTTTAATTAAAAATTTTAACAATGTTCTTGTATACTTCGTTTTTGATGGTTTTTATAGGATAATCTCACGTTTATGTCTTGAGAAAGGAAATAAACATTTCCGAAAGCTTGACAACAACACAGAGTGTTCTTATTACATTAGCCCTTAGCACTATTGACTGCAATCCCAAATACATCACTGGTTTTTATATATATATAAGAAAAAAACTAGTGATGTATTTGGGTTTGCAGTCAACAGTCCTAAGGGCTAGTATAATAACACCGTGTTGTTGTCAAGCTTTTCTGTTTATTTCCTTTCTCAAGACATCTATAATATAATTGATATCTGTATTAGAATAATAAGTTATAAAAGTTTATTACATACTTACATAATCTGAGATTATAATATAAAAACCATCAAAAAAAGGAGATACAAGAACATTGTTAAAATTTTATGAACTCCAACTGATTTTTATATTATAAACTCGTGTTATGTAAGTATGTAATAATAGTGTACGCAACTCCAGTACAGACAAGAGATGAATTGCTGCAAAAAATTAATTTCAATTGTGATAATAATAGGCATGCCCCAGAAATGCTTTTTCGTGTTCAAACAAATAACATCTGTAGTCTTAAAAAGTGTGTGGAGGTGGAATATTGAAAACATATTTTGATAGTTTTCTTTCTATTAAAGAATTTTTTTGACTTACCCTATATTTCTGTTTTGTTTTTCTATTTTGTATTATATGTAAAGTGGGTTTGTCAAATTGTGTTAGTGAAAATTACATTAGCAGACAGTAAGATTTTCTAGACTCTTATTTTAAAAATATGTACGATTCTAACATAGCAATAATTATGTCCAATTAAAAATTTTAAAAAAATGGTGGAGGCGCCCCTCGATGTACAGGGTGATTCACTATATTTTGACCCCCCTTTAACTTTTTTGTTTTAAGAGTTATAAAAAAATGTGAATATAAAAGTTGCACGATTTTTTATTAATTTTCGAAAATGAGTAGAAAAACAAATAAAGTCCAAATAAAATGGCCACGGAGTTAACTTTGTTAAGTTAAATGGAACACCCTGTATATTTTTACATATTTGGATACAACGTTCCCTGTCGAGCATAGTCATATAGGGTGTGTTGGGTCCACTCTAACAATGAGGGAGATAATATTAAAAAACGAAAAGAAGGTTTTTTATTAAGAAAGTAAGACATCTTGTAATTGTTAGACCTCAATCAGGCATTTCTGCCTTTTTTCCATTACAGATTTAGTTAAAATATATTTTGATATATCGGACATTGATACAGTCCAAAATGCGTATAGGCAATGTAACGAAATCTAATTAGGCCGTTAGAGGTCTAATTACTCATGGACATTATATGGTAGGTCTTGACAGTGACAGGTAGGTCTTGACAATATTGTTATGGATTGACATTGCATTATTATTTAATTAAAATAGGTTACACAGAAGTAGAAAATTATTTAGAATTAAAATAGAGTATGGAGAACTTTGCTCTATTTTAATTCCTATAATATTTCAATTTTCTACTTCTGTGTTCATTTTAATTAAATAATAATACAAATTGTCAAACAATAACAATATTGTCATGACATTACCTGTCACTATCACGGCCTACTATATAATATTATCCATTAATTGGGCCTCTCACGGCCTAATTAATGAAATTTAGATTTTAAATTGTCATAACTTCTGAATGCCTTAATCGATTTCAGTAAACGATGGCTCATGTTAAAGAACTATTAATAAAATTTATATTTATAATATGGGAATAAAAATATTATTTTCCTGCGCAAAGATAGACGACGCTAATGAGAAAAGTTTTGTAATTGTTTCCGTTTAATAAAAAAATTTATTGGAAAAAATTAGTTGGAACTAGTCGAAATATTTCCAACATGAATTTAAAAAAATCCATTAGTGCGCAGTATTTGGCTAATTTGAAAGGAAAAAGAGAAATCCAATTTGCCGTAAAAACAAAGACAAATATCGACAAAATTGAAGAGGTATATACACTGAGCTCGTAAAGTTTGGAATAAATTCGATGAATCGTTATTGAAGGGTTTTGACAGCAAATCCTCGGACACGTCAACTTTAGTTTATAAAATGTCACTTTTTTTCAGCCATCGACTTTTTTTTGTTTTGTGTGTTTTTGAGCTATGACGTCATCGGCAATTTTTTTAAATGTCGCCCCATATTTTTTTCCACGGATTTCGATAGAGCACATTTTTCTGAGTACGAATATGTCAAAAACGTATGACCTTCAAAATGGAAGTTTTCGAGATATTCGGTTCCAAAGTTTCAAGAATGCATTATACAAGCGATGACAAAGTACTAATCATTTATCAAGGAAGCTCTGAAAAAATTACAGTTTTGATAGTTGTCAGAATTTTGAAGTTTGTCCTCGCAAGTTTGTGTTTTATTTTAAGTTAATTAATCATTATTCTATCAGAATTCATTTTATTTGAAAATGGTTCGTCGTTTGAGTGAAAGGGAAAGAATCGAAATTTTGATGATGATCGGTTACGGGGACAGAGCTCGCACACAAGTAGAAGTTTGCCGTTTATTTAATAACAAATATCCAAACAGAGAACCAATTACACAGTCCACGGTTAGTAAAATAGAGCAAAAGTTTTTAGAAATGGGTCATGCGAGAGATCGCCCTAGAACGGGTCGTCCACCAGTACAAGAAGATGTTAAATTGAATGTTCTACTAGAGCTTCAAGAAAATCCCCATTTACCCACCCGCCAAGTGGCGGCAAACAACGGAATAGTTCAAAGCTCCGTCTTAAAATATTTGAAATTGTACAAATGGCATCCGTATAAAGTGGTTTTGGTCCAACAATTAAACGAAGATGATCCTGACCGTAGGTTACAGTTTTGTGAAACCATGTTGCAACGCCTGATTGATGACGACGGATTCTTACGCAATATTATTTTTTCTGATGAGGCTACCTTTTATCTCGACGGCACAGTAAACCGGCAAAACTGTAGATATTGGTCTCCTGAAAATCCACACTGGAAAATGGAAACTCGTAGTCAGTTTCCACAAAAAGTTAACGTTTGGGCTGGCCTTGTTGCTAACCGCATTTTGGGTCCATTTTTCATTGAAGGCGCATTAACAGGTGAAAAATATTTTGAATTTTTAAGAGACGTTTTAGTCCCTGCACTTGCGGTGCTTTACCCAAATGACGTAGATCCCGATCTGCCCAATAACACGATATGGTACCAACAAGACGGTGCACCTCCTCATTTTGCAGTGATCGTTCGCAACTATTTAAACCAAATATTTGCTAACCGTTGGATTGGTCGAAGAGGAACTATCGAATGGCCCCCTAGATCTCCGGATCTCACTCCCCTAGACTACTTTTTATGGGGCTATTTAAAGAGCAAAGTCTACTTCAATAGACCAAATACCATTGAAGAATTAAAGGACAGAATTCGCAATGAAATTCGAGCCATTCAACCAGATATTCTTCATAAGGTTCTGCAGGAGTTTCAGTGGCGAATGGGATATTGCCAAGAAGTGAATGGAGGTCACTTTGAAAATTTCCTTTGATTTTCTTGTTTACTTTAATTATTTATCATTTGTACAGAAACCTTTTTTCATTTGTTAAAATTGTTGCTGATTATTACTTAAAAAATTAAACAAATTGCTACTAAAATCTCTTAAATGTTCGATAAGCTCTTAAAAAACTTGACCCACACGATACCTTGTATATGGTACATCCTTGAACCTTTATAACCTAATAGACAGTTTAAGTTATGTATCCGACATAATGTATACGTAGAATTTAACCATTGCGCATGCTCAAATTAGTATCATGATCATCTACAATCAACTTAAACTGTCTATTATCTCGAAAACTTCCATCTTGAAGGTCATACGTTTTTGACATATTCGTACTCAGAAAAATGTGATCTATCGAAATCCGTGGAAAAAAATATGGGTTGCCATTTAAAAAAATTTCCGATGACGTCATAGCTCAAAAACAAACAAAACAAAAAAAAGTCGATGGCTGAAAAAAGTGAGATTTTATAAACTAAAGTTGACGTATCCGAGGATTTCCTGTCAAAACCCTTCAATAACGATTTATGGAATTTATTCCAAACTTTACGAGCTCAGTGTATAATGTAGGAAATCGTCGAGTTTCACATTTCAGTATATAAGATCGACGTGCCGAGGAGTTAAATATTCAAGAAGGCAGTTACGTGTATGTTTTCCTGTTTCGGCACAATTGTAGCACGACTGTAAATACGGCGTGTTGGGCCTTCTCCGAATTAAAACCGAAGCTGAGCACGCCGTGTAAGTGCCCTTTGACACATCACCAACGGTCATCGTATTATTATTATTGTTATCAATTATAGAAAAAATGTGAAATTTACTTAAATTTAAATTTACTGAAAAGTATTCTGTTTCCTATGCCTTCTCATATATTTTAGGGTTAGTTAAAAAAAATCTAAAAAGAACAACTATAACACTAATTTATACAATTATTTATTTAATTTGATGTTAAAATTACATCAATACTTTTAAAAACATCAGTTACTTGAGTTGGTTTACAAAAATGTATAGGCATAATAACAGATATTTCGTAGGCTTGTTGCTTTGATGATCATGAAAATGGTAATTAATTTATAAAATACTTTTAATTTTATGATTTTTTATGTTTTAGCCTAAATTTATAAGGCAGTTTATTGAAAAACAAAATATGGAAGACTTTGATGTTGTTTCTGGATCTCGTTATATTGGTTCAGGTGGAGTTTTTGGATGGGATCTAAAAAGAAAATTTATATCCAGAGCCGCAAATTTTGTAACTCAAATCTTATTACGACCTAGTGCAACTGACCTGACAGGATCTTTTCGATTATATAAAAAAGATATTTTAGAAAATCTTGTAGAAAACTGTGTTTCTAAAGGTTATGTATTTCAAATGGAGATAATTGTTAGGGCCAGGCAATTAAAATATAGCATTGGTGAAGTACCAATTACATTTGTGGATAGAGTTTATGGAGAATCAAAACTTGGCAGTTCAGAAATTATGCAATTTGCCAAATCTTTAGTATATTTATTTGGTACAACATAATTTTCATACTTATGTCATAAATAGTTTCTTTTTCTTTAATGTGTAAGAAATCTAAAGAATTTTTAAGTTTGTGAGTTATTTATATGAATCGGCATTAATGGATTACTATATTTTTTTTCATTTAAGATATGATTTTAATGTTTGTTATCTTAAGTTAAATTTAATAAATTAAAATGATTAATTTCACCGAAAAAAATATTTTTTCCCAGACATGTATAGTGAAGTAGTGAAGATACAAAATATATAGAAACAGAAAATAAAATAATGAAAAAAATACTTTAATATGACCTAGTTAGAAGACTAGATTAGATTTTATAAGATATATAAATACTTATAACTACAGAACAAATAATAATTTTGTTTTCTGAAAATAATGTACTCTTGTTAAAACTTCCTAATGTAGACGGTTTTAGAGAAAAACGGCTGTTAATTAAATTCTCACAATATTACGGTGTATAAAATAACTGACTTTTCTCAAAGTAGGCTTATGTCAAAACTTATTGATGGATGTGTCATAAACAACGCATACATTCTTAGTAATATATTGAAATTAGGTAAAAAAAGGATCGAAAGGTAACTATATTATCTCGTGTTTGTGTAAATTTTAGATTTTTAAGTTACAAAATACCTCTAGGGCCTAAACGTAGCGCAGTTTTCGTAGCTAGCTCGTATTTTTGTCACCCAATCACGTTTTCGGCACACGAAACCGGAATCCTTTCTAATATTCTTCTGAATTCTTTTTAAAGTACAATTTCTTTTTAAGGTGCGAATTCTTTTTATAAAATTAGAGTCCTGGATTGACAACAGAAGTTGTCAACTGTGGTTTTTAAATACGAATTATTTTCTGAAGTATTTAGTGCCGGTGTCCTACAACCTGGTGCATGTAGCGTAACGCTATTGAGTTTCCTTTCTTCAGCTGCGACCGTTTAGTCTCGACGCTTGAAGTCAACTGGCGAAAGGGAGGAAAGGATGGGCGCCGTTGTTTTTAGCGTAGGCCTGAATGATTTGGGGCCGAGGGGACTATCCCTCTTTGTCCTGTCTCAACGTTGTAGGTTTAGACAGCCTCGTGAAGGTGGACCCCATCTGTCGTCGACCATGACCACAAACGTGGCCGGAATAAGCGTTTTGTAGGATTTCCTCTTGTTTTGGCTGACCCCCGCCGCCTCTTCTGGCGCCCTTATTGTCTTCTCGTTTGTTTTTTCGCCGGCTTGTCTAATCCCTCGGAGGGCGAGTAGTCGTAGACGCGGGCGTGCGTGGCGGTGCCACCCTGGGGTTTGTCGCGTTGAGTATGTAGTCAACGGCTTAAGGAGGGGATTGTCGTGTTTCACTGCCGCGTTTAGTTGTTTTTTTGGTGTTTGAGTGTGTTAGTGTATTGTAAGTGGCGTAGAAGATTCCGTTTAGAGTTGGTAGTCTAGAGGGGCCTCAAGTAAGGTCAGAACCGAACCGTCCATCAAAGTAAAGTAAGTTACAAAAATTTGGCGCCCGAGCAGGGACCGTTATTTTCTTTTAAATACTGTATAGATACCGTTATTTTCTTTTATGTAAATCCCGTTTAGGGACTGTTATTTTCTTTTGTTTAAATACGGTTTAGGGACCGTTGTTTATTTGTGTAAATATAAATAAAAGCCGTCATTTGCTTTTATTAAATAATCAAAGACTATTATTGTCCGTTTAAATTTAATTTTGAGAATTTGTTTAATTGTTGAAAGGAACATTTTTTTGAACCCCGTTGAATGCGGTTAGAGCAATTTTCTTTGTCAATATTAAAGTTAGAACAAGACCGATTTGAATTTAATACTTTTAATAACAAATAGAGTCAAATAGCGAACATATAATAATCAGTGTTACCAGATTTTGTCTAAGCCTGTACTGAAGGCACTAAGATTGTAAAATTGATTTGTCCGTGTAGAGTTAAAGGCAAAAATCCGAATTTAATTAAATCCGAACCAATCCGACTTTTCCCGGAAAAGTTAACAGCTAATTTTTCCGAAATTAATCAAGCTAAACGTCGAATATTCAAGACTAAGTCTCGTAGAAGGATTTACTACCGATAACCGAAAATTACCGATTTTTGCCGAGTTCACCCGAAGCCTTCCTAGCCACAGGAGAGGCGTGGAAAGTATCATTTTCTTCATTCAAGGGTGAAGAATCGATTACAACTAGTTCCGAACCGATCCGATCAGTCACTTCCAAGATATAACCGATAAATCGTTGAAAAACACGATTTAAGAAAAGACTAAAAATTGATACCAGGCATGCAAATAGAGCACCGACACCGACTTTGACATTTTACCCGGATTTTCACCCGGAGTTTCCCGGAGTTAGGATTTGAGTGGAACATAGCAAGCTACCCCTCATTTTTAAGTAAATCGAAGGTGTACAATCGAATTTTGATAGTTTTATTGCAATCCGAGCTACCGTTTCCAAGATAGGTTATCCCTATCTTCAAATACCGACTTTTTCTGATTGGGACGTTTTGCTGAATTGTAATAAACTACCAGAATGCCATCCGACACCGGCCGCAATAACCTGCCACCCCCAGGAAGACCTGAACAATCTGGAGAGTCCAGTGACAACGAACCGCAGCCCGCAAAAGTGAGCTAGATTTACACGTTCAAGAAAGATGAGCTTGTCAGAGAGCTAGAAAAATTCTCTTTGACCACCAAGGGAACACTATCGACACTTCGAAAAAGGTTAGTAACATTTTTCCGAGAGGGTTATCCCAAATCCGGGAAAAATCAACGACAACTGTCTTCATCCTCTGGACCTGATAACGAACCGCCTCGTTTCCAGCCGGACATGGAGTCAACGAGGAAATCCGTTAAGAAAAACAGCATTGGAGAAATATGTGACAAAGTCCGAACTTGAAAGTTGCAGTTTAATGGAAAAACCGACGCTACTGAATTCCTGGAAAAATTGTATGTACTCCAGGAGAAAAGCGAAATTTCAACTACCTAATTATTACCAGCTCTGTTCGAAGTTTTTTAAGGCAATGCACTGGCATGGTACCGCAATAACGGAGATTCCTAGACTACATGGGGAGAATTTTTGGCCGATTTTAAATTATTTTATTTACCGGCAAACTTCCAGGACTCTTTGGAAGAGCAAATTCAAAGACGAAAGCAGAACACTAGCGAAACCGGGAGAGATTACATTGTGGCGTTACAAACATTAATTCGCCGCCACGGAGGATTTTCACCGGAAAAGATGTTGCGTCGCTGATATGCGAATTTACTGCCGGAATACCGCCAGTATATACGTCAAAGCGACATCACGAGTACTAGTGATCTGGTAGCCCGTTTAGATGAATTTGAAAATTTGAATAAAGAGCTCAAACACCGTAACACATTACCGGGCTATAGCTCAGACCGAAAAGAGTTTCCGCCTTCAAGAAACTGGGAACCGACCACCGTTTATACCCCGAACTTCCGAAGAAAATAGGACCAGGCCGGAACCTACTCCAGAAAGGCTTGCTGGACCAGCCTCACCGTCACCTGAGACTCGACCTGTACAATTAAGCCGTCGCCTGGCAGTTACAACCGGAGAACCATTTGCTGGAGATGTGGTCAACCTGACCACAACCGATATGAATGCAGAGCTCCGCCGAAATTATTTTGCTCCAGATGTGGGCAAAATGGAGTGATGACCCGCGACTGCAAATGTAACCGCCCTTCGACATCACATAATGCAGCCATCACCAGAACAGACAACCGCCCGCATATACAAGTGAAAATAAAGAACAAATATTTTTCCGTACTTGTAGATACCGGAGCTTTGCTCTCTTACATAGGCAACAAGGTAGCCGACTACTGCAAAGACCTGAACATGCCAATCCAAGAGGTAGAAACACCGACTACCGTATTGGCCAATGGGCAACAAGTAACCGTTCGTGGTGGATATAACCTAGTTTTCCATAAATGAAACCAGGTTTTCCCAATTAATATACCATCTACCCGATTTAACATCCGACATGATAATTGGGATGGACCTATTGAGCGGAAATAATTTTAGGATGGACTTATTAAGTAACACCATTTCCTTAAAAAATAAAAAAGTCCATAGGACACCGCCGACGACACCGTATACTCCTGTGCACTTAACCGAGGACGAAGAAACCCGACTAAAACAATTCCTGGATCAGGAGTTACCAAGTGTTTCCGATATAAAAGGTGCTACTAAGCTAATCCAGCATCAGATCCGCCTTTTCCAAGCGGAACCGATTAAACAAAGATACCGACCTCAGAACCCCCGCATGCAGGCAATTATTAACCAGGAAGTGGGCGACATGCTAGAACAAGGGATAATAGAACCGTCAAGTAGCCCTTGGAATTCACCAGTAGTGATAGTCCGGAAGAAGGATGGAAGTCCAAGATTTTGCATCGACTTCGGAAAGTGAACGAAGTCACAGAGAAAGTTGCCTACCCCCTACCGTACATAAATGCCACTCTGGACAAACTACGCCGAGCCCGGTATATCTCTAGCATCGACCTGAAACAGGGGTACTGGCAAATTCTGTCATCCGTAAGTAAACCTGTCGCCGCATTTACTGTCCCCGAAAGAGGACTTTTTCAGTTCAGAGTAATGCCGTTTGGACTACATTCCGCATCTGCCACTTTTCAACGCCTGTTAGACCGTATAATTAGTCCCGAACTATAACCGCATGCATTCGCGTATTTGGATGATATAATTGTTTTGGGGGAAACATTTGAAGACCATCTAGAAAATCTGAAAGAAGTTTTCCGCCGACTGCGTATATCCAACCTGAAATTAAATCCTGACAAGTGCCAGTTTTGCAGGAAATCATTAAAATATTTAGGCCATATGGTAACCGCTGAGGGAATCCGCACCGATCCAGAAAAAGTGGAAGCAAGCCAGAAGTTTCCAAACCCGAAAAATGTCCGAAATGTCCGACGCTTTCTAGGTACAGCTTCCTGGTACCGTAGATTTGTCCCGTCATTTTCAGAACTAGTTGCACCGTTAGCCAGACTGCTCAAGAAAAATTACCGTTGGAAATGGACTGCCGACCAGGAAAAGCTTTCACAGCTTTAAGGAAATGTTTCACCGAAGCCCTGATTTTGACTTGCCCCGATTTTGAGAAACCGTTTATTTTACAGACCGACCCAAAATGTTGAGGGAACCGAACATGTCGTGGCATATG